CGCGGGAATGTGTCAGCTTGATTGTACACACGAGATGGAGTTATGTTTTTGAGGATACTGATTTTTATTCAAACAATTATGGATATGTGTTTTTCATAATTTGACACGTTGGGGTTTTGTGAAATGTGTTTATGAGAATTATGTGATTTTTAAAATGAAAAAAATTGTTTGAAAATTTACGGCGTTACATCTCCACATGTAATCATATAGTCATGAGAGAAATAACGGGAGATTTTAGGACGAGTTATAGAGAAGCGGAACATGGGACGTGGGGACTGGGGAGTCATCCGGGAAGCAAAGAGAACCGCCACAAAAACTAAAAATTAGAGAGTTTATGTGTCTGTGATTTAATTTGAGAAAATCGTAATGCTCAAGCTGTTTTTCACTTGCGGTCGTCAATAGTATTAGAAATTAATAATGTTCGGAGCGAAAATCCAGAAAATCTTGAGATTATTCGCGCACAATTTGATCAAAATATTGAGTAAAAAATTTCCAAACTTTAAGTTTTTACTTTTCACCCTCAACGTCCACTTTATTGCTCCAGTAACCTATATTTTAGAAAAATAGGCAATTGATTATTGAAATGTATACATGGAAAAGCCATGTCATCGATCCATGCGAGACTCTTTGATATTCAACGGCTGATAATGATCTACAACATTTCACACGGATCACAAATTCAACCGCCTAAAATTCAAATCCCCTCCAAAAGATTTCACCTTTAAAACCACGCCCACAATTCACATCCTTCATCACATTCAAAGTTCAAACCCAATTCAATTTTATCTCTCTCCCTGTGAAAATGTCTGGCCGTGGAAAGGGTGGAAAAGGACTGGGAAAGGGCGGAGCAAAACGTCACCGGAAAGTACTCCGTGACAACATTCAGGGAATAACAAAGCCGGCGATTCGGAGGTTGGCTAGAAGAGGCGGAGTCAAGAGAATCAGCGGATTGATTTATGAAGAGACTCGAGGTGTTCTCAAGATCTTTTTGGAGAATGTGATTCGTGATGCGGTGACTTACACGGAACATGCTCGCCGGAAAACGGTTACTGCCATGGATGTCGTATATGCTCTCAAGAGACAAGGCCGAACTCTTTATGGATTTGGAGGCTAAGTTTGTTTATCCTGTTGAATGATATATCAATAGAATTAATCGATTCCAATGTGTACTTGGTTTACGGGGTATTGAATGTTAATGAAATGCTAATTTTCTTCACAAGACCATTTGTTTTTTCGAATGTTCGTTTAACCTGTTGCTGAACGTTTAGTCAACTCTCTGCAGTTCATGATTTATTATTTTAGGTATCCATTTTTGGGTCTGATTTACATCTGTTTGAATATCTCTTCAAAGGAAACTTTCGATTCAATTGTACCATCAAATGGATTCGGTGCATTCACGTTACGTATTTGATTTTGAAATGCTGTTGTACTGTCTTCTTGACGTTTCATTTTATTTTTTTGTTTCTAGTTATGGGCTTGATTGATGTGTGTTCATATTCGAATTGCTATTGAATCATTCACAAAAATCTTTATTAATAATAACACATCTAAGTCAAAAACTCAATTTCTCCCCCTTTTGATTTGGGAAGATAAAAGCAGAGGCTTAGGTTCATATTTCTTGATGAACTCTTGTAACCCCCAAAAGAAAAATGTCAAATTAGATTTCGGAATTCAAACACAAACAAGCAAAAACCCAAATTGGAATTGGATCGAATCAACAAAATTAACATGCTTTGTACTTCGTGCAACGAAGTGGCCCTGCATTTGCAGTAAGCGCAGGCACTTGAGAGCCATGAGCTACTGGGAAAGACTGTGCTCTTGAATACCCAGGTGCGCAACTTCCATATCCTGATGGAATGAAATATGCTCCACCTAGAAACACATCTTTTGAAGATCTCCATTTCCAGTTCTTCCAACCATTCTTATTATTCTCCCTTTTTGTAACCTACAAAAGATTCAAATTTCAGATAATGCGCTAAGAAAATGGATGAATAATCAAATATTTAGGCACAAATTTGAAAGAAGAACGCTTTATAATCAAATCAAACTCTATAAAGATCTTACCTCTCTAATTGATTCAATTTTGGAAGCTGTATAGTAGTTCCCTTCACTAAGTATAGTTGGATTTGCACTTCCACCAACTGCATACATATGCCATTCATCATACTTATTGTTTGCAACATGTGCATATCCAAGCCTCACCCTGAAAAATTTAATCCGTTTACGTAAGGTAAAGTTACAAACTTTTTGGTAAAAGTTACCGAAATAGTTTTTTAGAACATAGATTACACATACCTCGGCATTCTTTGAACTAGACCCTCTCCGAAATGGTTATAAACTATGGTAACTTTCATAATTTTGTCTTCCATATTATTGTCGTTGTGGCCAAGTAACATAACCTGCATGGTTTTGTACTAGTGGTCAATAAAAAGGTACAAGAATTTGAAAATGTGATGATTAGGATATTATAGCATTCAAAATTGATTTGTATTTTAGATAATATTGTTATATTTTCTAGATTTTTCAAAGTAAAATGTTGTAATAGGAAGAAATGAAAGTATGATGTTTTAATAAACAAATAAATGAAATTACAATGCTATTTTTGCATTTAGGGATGCTTGAGATGCTATATAAGTTAAGGAATTATTGGATGTTTACCTTATCGTGCTGAGAAAAGAAGTTATTTGAGATCGTGATGAGAGTTGAAGCATGGATGATATCTATGAGTCCATCCGTGGCTCGAGCAAGGAAGCAGTGGTCAACCCAAACGTAGGATGAGTCAAATATATCAATGGCATCACCATCCGAGCCTCTACGGTGGCCCAAGTGTGTTGGACTGTTTCTCACAAGCCCCGATTTCCCGGGCTTACAATCATGAATGCTAATCCCATGGATGATCACATGGCTCACATGTTGTATAGTTATACAAGGCCCATATGCAATTTCCACTTTTACCCCTCGCCCATCGATGGTCTTGTAACTATTCACCATAAGCTCGTTCTTGAGCTTAATGACCATATCTTTAGCGAATATGATCCACAAAGGTTGTGTTTGGATCACCCCGTAACGTAGGGTTCCAGGTTTAGGGTTTATCGGATCGTCTGTAGGGTTTGTGACCACATACGTTTTACCATTTTTTCCTCCAATGGCACCTTTACCAAAGCCAACGGTGCAATCGGCTAACGCACGGCGATTATACGCCCAATTTGTGGTTTTACGCCGGCATGCGTCGATTGCGTTCACGGCCTGTGGTGCTTTATTGTAGATGGAGATTGGTTTAGGGGCATTATAGTAAATTGCATGAGAGATTGAAACATGGTAGGACACGAGAGTTAGGATGATGAAGAGTGAAGCCATGCCCATGTTTCTTGCGAAGTGAGATAAAAGAAACCATGAAAGATGGTTGATATATATAAGATTGGATACTTACACTTTACACCCTTGTTTTATCTTTGTGTCAATTTTTTGAACAAGTTGAAACTTTTTTATAACATTGCAAGCCTTAAATTAGCAAAAATTATGAAGTTTGGATCCTTTATAATTGATATAAAAGCAAGAGGTAGTTATATGTAGATATCTAGTTAAGAGATAAGAGTATCACAATGTGGTACACACTACTTTGACTTGCTATGATTTGGAGACGTGAGTGCACGCTTATGGAAGTTTGACTTTTGGAGGATTGTTGGGCTTAAGATGGTGATGGTTGACTTTGGGCCTTTGGAATTTTAATTAAACTATTGTAGAATATAGTCATATAGACCAACGGGTTCCCATTGTTTTTATTTTTTATTTTTAGTTTTTCGGTTTAATCTAATGAAATGTTTTAATTCCAAGTCGAAAAAGTGACTTATACGAGCATTATAACTTACAAAACCAAATAAATTCGTGTGTTGGCTTATCGTTTTCAATGGGACTGTATTTTTGCAATTTATATTAAAGTTATTCAACCCGTAAGGAAATTATGGGCCAAAACCCAGCCCAAATTCTTTCATTTAATCTCCCTTGACCTTAGAATTAATATTTTTGGTTTTTATTTACTTTCATTATCAAATAAATGATTTCGCTGATTTGTTTCAATAGTATAATGTTTTAGGGGCTGTCCAGACATTTGATTTTTCAGATTCAGTGTATTTGATATTCTTTTAGTTTTTGTCTCAATTGTTTTAACTTTTAACATTCTTTTATTTTTTAATTGAAGTTGTATCTAAAAAAAAAAAAGAACATGTGCCAAAATACCTTAATCTTTCATCAAACCTTCTTTCCTCTTATTTTTCTATTTTACAAGACCTTATCCATTTTCACTCCCACTATCCTCTCAAAATTTCTTAAAAATTCAGAATCTCTTATAATTAACATCTTTTATAGATTTTGATCTTAAAAATTCAGATCCTACTAAACACACCAACAATAATTATGTTTTCTTAGTGATGAAATTGATTTTTTACTTGCAAATGATAAAAAAAAGTTCTTTATAAGAATATTTTCTTGTAACTTGAAAATTACAAATGGCATTACATTTTTTTTCTCATGATGTTTATAAACACTGTATTTTTGCTTTCATTATGCATCAAAGTAGAATCTTTGTTTTTGTACGGATGTTATAATATTTTATTTTTGAAAAGATTGTCTATCATATTCTTAGATATAAATTGACTTCAATGATTAAAGTAAATCAAATTCATCTGTATATGTATTTATAAATATAAATTTTCAATAATTTGCCAAACAGTTTTTTATACATCGATAAATGTTTGACTGAGTAAAACAAAAGGATTGGCTTACCTTTTATCTTAACAATCACATTACCACGATAATAAATATTTCAATCAACTATAAAGTATAAACCATTTAATTAACAATTTATTTTAATTTATCTATAAATGTAAATACAACTTTAAAATATTAGACATCCAAACCCAATCGTACCCGATTTTCTTACGGATATCATTTTCAATTGGACGTCATTTACATGTTTAAAATAGACAAGAATGTTCTTTTATTTATGCATAGTTACACATCCCATGTACACAATCATCCCCTCTTTTGCATACTTTGTTGCAACCCCCACAATGATGCTTGTCCACCATCGGATTCACACACGATCCCTTGCAACAAATCTCCATATATTTGCATTTCCTCCCACAAAACCCACAATTTTGTTTATCGGTAAACACATCAACACATTTCTTGTTGCAACAATCTGGTCCTGGGCTTCCCTTTGCAAGACAAAGCCTAGGGTTCTTGTTGCATTTTAATCCCCTAGTGTCATCAAGGACCCCACCAACCCCTAATGGTGTACTCGATACCAAACTATCTGCTTCACTGTCATTGATATCGAACCATTTTTCTTCGGTTGGTGTGGAAGAAAGTGTTGCGGCTAAGGTCATGAAAATGGCAAGGGCAATCAAGAATCTTGTTAGAGTGTTCATGGTGGTGTTTCTAAATGGGAATGTGAGTTTTGTTGGAGTAAGGATTAGGGATGTGTATTTATAGGGATGTAATGTGAAGGAGTTTGAAAGATGGGGGTCTCTTTTGTTGAAAAAATGTTTGGTTTTGATAGCACATTTTACATTGTTATGTATACGTATTGAATTCTGTATGTAGAATTAGAAGAAAAAAAGTCGATAAGAATCCACTTAATAATGTCAATTTGGATCTTGGATGGTATATTTGATGTATACTAGACGTATTAAAATTTAAAACTCATGTAGTCATGTGTAAAGTAATTCTTAATATTGTATCACTAACTCCGTTAAAGAACAAAATGTTAAAAAAAAAAAAAAAGGTACTCCACATAAAGATAGACCAACAAAGAGAAACCTATTGTGGTCCTTTCGATATCACAAAATTGATTTTGAGTTGCCCGTTTCTTGTGAAATAAACACGATAATTCAAGTTTGTGTCCTCCGTTTCTTGTGAAAAAAACACAAAAATCAATTTTATAACATGTTAATAGTGTCCCATCTAACAAAGTAAGCCATTAGTTAAGTTTAGATATTTGCAATGATTTCATCAATGGTTTTATTAGTGTTATGGACTTCGAAGGTCTCTTTTCGGATGCCAGTTTAAAAGGTAAAATCATGATTATTTTTACTTTTTTGTAGGCGTTGGATGTGATATTTTGCCAACAATTTGTGATTATAATACCAAGAGGTCTAGGCTTTGATTTTTTATGATTATGTTCTTGTCTTCTATACTTTTTCTTAGGTTTAGTTAGAGGTGTTATTTTATTTTATTTTTTATTTTATTTATTTTATTTTATTTTTTTATTATTATTTATTTTTTTTGTCTTCTATACTTTTCATAGGGTTAATTAGGGGTGTTATTATATATATATATATTTTTTTAAACAAGACATTTTCCATAACATTTACAATGCCATTAGGATGATACATAAACCAATGAATGATGACCCTATTTCAGTTTGGTTTTTTACAAAAACGCACACAAGTAATTAACTAAAACATATGGAATATTATACAAAAATACACACACAAGTAATTGACCAAAACATATGGAATATGACACAAAACAAAGTAGAAGCCACTCATAATTTTGTTTTTCAATGGAACCCTTAAAAACACATTGTTTAATTTAAAATTTATATACTTAATCAGTTAAACTTGTACACAAAACGATGGCACTTTGGGTTTTCCGGTTCGGGTTTCTTTTCATTTTTTATATAAAAAGCGAAAACAACCCTAAAAATATGGTTTTCTTAAAAGCCAAAAACAAGATAGTTCAGTTCTTTTGCACACACCTAATCGGGATTGATTATAATATCAGGAATCGTATAATAAACAATATGGATGCAATTATTTAAAGGTCACCTATTGATATTTAAGGGGTTATTTGACACGATCTGAATTTTTAAGATCTAAATTTTTAAGAGGTTTGAATTTCTAAGATTTGAATTTTAACATGCTGTTTGGTTGGAACCTCTGAATTGTTGTCCTGAATAATGAAAATGACCATTTTACCATTCTCTATCATTTCTTTCAACTACAACATTGTACTTCCAATCTTTCCTTTTTAAGACATCGTACTTTAAAAATTATAAGCATTCTAGTATTCTAATTGAATAAAAATAGGAAGTACAATGCTATAATGATAAAAAATTGACCATTTTACGCATTAACTATTTTTTTGGACACCGTCGATTTCACCAAAATAGCATCAAAACTCATTAAAACATCATCAAAATTCATTAAAAACAACACCAATATTAACCAAAACAACATCAAAACTAATTAATATGTTCCATTATTGCTCTCATTTGTTAAGGTAATCAGGTTCGAAATACCATTTGCTTCAACAATGATACTATAGTTTTGAAGGAGATCATAGTCTTTCTTTTCCTCCATTTGCTTCATCATCATAGAACTTTCATTTTTTTTTCCCTAAAGACCTTTCTCTGGTATCTATTGAAAAATATGGAAGATGCATCTCACCGAATGTGTCTTCAGCCAAATCAAATGCAACAATCCTTTGTAACTTCCACTATGAATTCAATATAGTGAATAAACGATCTGTCTCATTACATCAAAATCATTTATCACAAATTGAATGAAAAAAGGGATGGCTAGCAAGATTGCACAACATAATCTTGTAAAATCAGAAATATTGAGTATAAAATAATGAAAAAAATGAAACCCTAACAGAGCTTGAGTTTGAGAGAGAGTTTAGAGAAGAAACGATCTGTCTCCTTACACCAAAAGTGTAGAAGAATCGTGTAAC